CACTTTCACCTTAACTGTCAAAGTTTGACTTAGTGTTATCAAGGTTGATAACTTCACTTAATTCAAATAATCTAAAAATTGTTAATATTATTTATAAATTTACCTTAATTTTAATTAGTATTGAATAGAAATTAAGGTTAATTAATTTGTTTGTAATAAATTTAATTATCTCCCCATTTTTACGAAATTCACCACTATTAAGCGCCATCTTTTGATTTTTTTTTAAACGACTTTAATAATTAATTTATAAATAATCATTAATTTTGAGTAAATATTCGTTTTAAAACATTAAATCGATCTTGTTTAAACAAATAAAAGCACATTTCCCATTAAATTATTAACAAAAAGTATTGCTGTTTAAAAATCACTTCACTTAATTGTCATCTGTTGATCAGCGCCATCTTTTGATTCTCTTTTAAAACAATTTTAATAATTAATTTATAAATATCTTTAATTTTGAGGAGATATTCGTTTTAAAACATTAAATCGATCTTGTTTAAACAAATAAAATCACATTTCCCATTAAATTATTAACAAAAAATTATTGCTGTTTAAAAATCACTTCACATAATTTGACATAACTGCCATCTTTTGATTCTCTTTTAAAACAATTTTAATAATTAATTCATAAACATCTTTAGTTTTGAGTAAATATTCGTTTTAAAACATTAAATCGAACTTGTTTAAACAAACAAAATCACATTTCTCATTAAATCATAACAAAAATATTGCAATTTTTTGAAACATCTCACTTAACTCGATTTTTATCATAAATAAATCATAAATTTCGCTTACCTTTATTACTTGGTGTTAAATTCACGAATTATATCTAATTACACTAACTAAATAAAGCATTTTTTAATTAAAAACGTTTTAAATGCTTAAAAACCACTTTCACATTAACTGTCAAAGTTTGACTTAGTGTTATCAAGGTTGCTAACTTCACTTAATTCAAATAATCTAAAAATTGCTAATATTATTTATAAATTAACCTTAATTTTAATTAGTATTGAGTAGAAATTAAGGTTAATTAATTTGTTTGTAATAAATTTAATTATCTCCTCATTTTTACGAAATTCGCCACTATAGCGCCATCTTTTGATTTTTTTTTAAACAACTTTAAGAAGTAATTTATAAATAATCATTAATTTTGAGTAAATATTCGTTTTAAAACATTAAATCGATCTTGTTTAAATAAACAAAAGCACATTTCCCATTAAATTATTAACAAAAAGTATTACTGTTTAAAAATCACTTCACTTAATTGTCATCTGTTAGTCAGCGCCATCTTTTGATTATCTTTTAAAACAATTTTAGTAATTAATTTATAAATATCTTTAATTTTGAGTAGATATTCGTTTTAAAACATTAAATCGATCTTGTTTAAACAAATAAAATCACATTTCCCATTAAATTATTAACAAAAAATTATTTCTGTTTAAAAATCACTTCACTTAATCGTCATCTGTTGATTTGACATAACTGCCATCTTTTGATTCTCTTGTAAATCAATTTTAATAATTAATTCATAAACATCTTTAGTTTTGAGTAAATATTCGTTTTAAAGCATTAAATCGAACTTGTTTAAACGAACAAAATCACATTTCTCATTAAATAATAACAAAAATATTACAATTTTTTGAAACATCTCACTTAACACGATTTTTATCATAAATAAATCATAAATTTCGCTTACCTTTATTATTGGGTGTTAAATTCACGAATTATATCTAATTACACTAACTAAATAAAGCATTTTTTAATTAAAAACGTTTTAAATGATTTTTTAATTAAAACCGTTTTAAATGATATTCGTTTAAATGTTGTAACTCGATCGGGTTTAAACAAATAAAATCACATTTCTCATTAAATCATAACAAAAATATTGCAATTTTTTGAAACATCTCACTTAACTCGATTTTTATCATAAATAAATCATAAATTTCGCTTACCTTTATTACTCGGTGTTAATGCTTAAAAACCACTTTCACATTAACTGTCAAAGTTTGACTTAGTGTTATCAAGGTTGCTAACTTCACTTAATTCAAATAATCTAAAAATTGCTAATATTATTTATAAATTAACCTTAATTTTAATTAGTATTGAACAGAAATTAAGGTTAATTAATTTGTTTGTAATAAATTTAATTATCTCCCCATTTTTACGAAATTCACCATTATAAGCGCCATCTTTTGATTTTTTTTTAAAACAGCTTTAATAATTAATTTATAAATATCATTAATTTTGAGTAGATATTCGTTTTAAAACATTAAATCGATCGTGTTTAAACAATTAAAAGCACATTTCCCATTAAATTATTAACAAAAAGTATTGCTGTTTAAAAATCACTTCACTTAATTGTCATCTGTTGATCAGCGCCATCTTTTGATTCTCTTTTAAAACAATTTTAATAATTAATTCATAAATATCTTTAATTTTGAGTAGATATTCGTTTTAAAACATTAAATCGATCTTGTTTAAACAAATAAAATCACATTTCCCATTAAATTATTAACAAACAATTATTTCTATTTAAAAATCACTTCACATAATTTGACATAACTCCCATCTTTTGATTCTCTTTTAAATCAATTTTAATAAATAATTCATAAATATTTTTAGTTTTGAGTAAATATTCGTTTTAAAACATTAAATCGAACTTGTTTAAACAAACAAAATCACATTTCTCATTAAATCATAACAAAAATATTGCAATTTTTTGAAACATCTCACTTAACTCGATTTTTATCATAAATAAATCATAAATTTCGCTTACCTTTATTACTCGGTGTTAAATTCACGAATTATATCTAATTACACTAACTAAATAAAGCATTTTTTAATTAAAAACGTTTCAAATGCTTAAAAACCACTTTTAGATTAACTGTCAAAGTTTGACTTAGTGTTATCAAGGTTGCTAACTTCAATTAATTCTAAAAATATAAAAATTGCTAATATTATTTATAAATTAATCTTAATTAGTATTGAATAGAAATTAAGGTTAATTAATTTGTTTGTAATAAATTTAATTATCTCCTCATTTTTAACGAAATTCAACACTATAGCGCCATCTTTTGATTTTTTTTTAAACAACTTTAATAATTAATTTATAAATAATTATTAATTTTGAGTAAATATTCGTTTTAAAACATTAAATCGATCTTGTTTAAACAAATAAAAGCACATTTTCCATTAAATTATTAACAGAAAGTATTGCTGTTTAAAAATCACTTCACTTAATCGTCATCTGTTGATCAGCGCCATCTTTTGATTCTCTTTTAAAACAATTTTAATAATTAATTCATAAATATCTTTAGTTTTGAGTAAATATTCGTTTTAAAACATTAAATCGAACTTGTTTAAACAAACAAAATCACATTTCTCGTTAAATCATAACAAAAATATTGCAATTTTTTGAAACATCTCACTTAACTCGATTTTTATCATAAATAAATCATAAATTTCGCTTACCTTTATTACTTGGTGTTAAATTCACGAATTATATCTAATTACACTAACTAAATAAAGCATTTTTTAATTAAAAACGTTTTAAATGCTTAAAAACCACTTTCACATTAACTGTCAAAGTTTGACTTAGTGTTATCAAGGTTGCTAACTTCACTTAATTCAAATAATCTAAAAATTGCTAATATTATTTATAAATTAACCTTAATTTTAATTAGTATTGAACAGAAATTAAGGTTAATTAATTTGTTTGTAATAAATTTAATTATCTCCCCATTTTTACGAAATTCACCATTATAAGCGCCATCTTTTGATTTTTTTTTAAAACAGCTTTAATAATTAATTTATAAATATCATTAATTTTGAGTAGATATTCGTTTTAAAACATTAAATCGATCGTGTTTAAACAATTAAAAGCACATTTCCCATTAAATTATTAACAAAAAGTATTGCTGTTTAAAAATCACTTCACTTAATCGTCATCTGTTGATCAGCGCCATCTTTTGATTCTCTTTTAAAACAATTTTAATAATTAATTTGTAAATATCCATAATTTTGAGGAGATATTCGTTTTAAAACATTAAATCGATCTTGTTTAAACAAATAAAATCACATTTCCCATTAAATTATTAACAAACAATTATTTCTGTTTAAAAATCACTTCACATAATTTGACATAACTGCCATCTTTTGATTCTCGTTTAAAACAATTTTAATAATTAATTCATAAACATCTTTAGTTTTGAGTAAATATTCGTTTTAAAACATTAAATTGAACTTGTTTAAACAAACAAAATCGCATTTCTCATTAAATCATAACAAAAATATTGCAATTTTTTGAAACATCTCACTTAACTCGATTTTCATCATAAATAAATCATAAATTTCGCTTACCTTTATTACTTGGTGTTAAATTCACGAATTATATCTAATTACACTAACCAAATAAAGCATTTTTTAATTAAAAACGTTTTAAATGCTTAAAAACCACTTTCACATTAACTGTCAAAGTTTGACTTAGTGTTATCAAGGTTGCTAACTTCACTTAATTCAAATAATCTAAAAATTGTTAATATTATTTATAAATTAATCTTAATTTTAATTAGTATTAAATAGAAATTAAGGTTAATTAATTTGTTTGTAATAAATTTAATTATCTCCCCATTTTTACGAAATTCAACACTATAGCGCCATCTTCTGATTTTTTTTTTAACAACTTTAATAATTAATTTATAAATAATCATTAATTTTGAGTAAATGTTCGTTTTAAAACATTAAATCGATCTTGTTTAAACAAATAAAAGCACATTTCCCATTAAATTATTAATAAAAACTATTGCTGTTTAAAAATCACTTCACTTAATTGTCATCTGTTGATCAGCGCCATCTTTTGATTCTCTTTTAAATCAATTTTAATAATTAATTTATAAATATCTTTAATTTTGAGGAAATATTCGTTTTAAAACAATAAATCGATCTTGTTTAAACAAGCAAAATCACTTAAATTATTGCAATCTATAAACCTTCACATAATTAATTTGACATAACTGTCAAAACTGTCATTTAATTGTTTTAAAACAATTTAATTTTACCCAATATTTCGTAAACACCTGATTCATCGTACAAAATTCATCTGAAAAACGCTTATTAATCCGTAATGAACGATAAATCCACAAACCCTTAATAAAACGATCCGTAAACATTGATAAGGAAAGATAACCGAGCTGATAAACGGAAAACTTAACCATTTTGACTCAACAAATGTGATTGTAAGGTGTAGTGTTTAAAAAATGGCTTTAATTTTAAAAATTTTCGCTTTAATCGTCTTAATGGACCAAGTTAAAAGTGACGTTTCGAAGAATCGCACCCCTTTTTGCGAAACTTGTTCTTGCGTGAACGAAACGTTAATTAATCCAGACGTGAATTGTTCCTCAGCTTTGGTGTTATCGAAATTGTACCAAGAAGAGATGTGGTTCGAAAAAAACAACAATATATCCTTGATGTATAACATAAACTCGATCGATTTGAGCAATTTAAACATGCGCGAATTAAACGATAAGTTTAATAAGAGTAATTTGAAAAAGATGGATTTAAGCAGAAATGGGATCGAGAAGATTTCAGCGAACGTTTTTGAAAATCTCCAAGATATGGTTGAGTTAATTTTGAGTTACAACGATATTAATTTTTTGGACGAAAACGTTTTTAAAGGTTTACACCTCGATGGGTTCGATTATCCGTTGATATCGTTGAAAATTCTGCGATTAGATCACAATAATTTCCATACTTTAAAGATAGATGTGTTCCAACACATCGAAATGACGTTGGAGGAACTTTATTTGGGGGGGAATCCTTTTAAAGTTTTAGACCAACCGAGTTTAACGGCCATTACGGGAATACAACGGTTAAAAGTTTTAGATTTGAGCTCTTGTGGGCTTCAAAATTTACCTCAATATTTCCTGCACACCCCCGCGTACTTGGTTAAACTTGATTTATCTCTAAACCAGATTGAATCCATTCCTGAAACATTAATAGACAGTAAAAGATTAGAGGAATTAATCATCGATGGAAATCCGATTAAAAATTTAACATCCAAAAACGGATTTCCCATCACGAAGACTTTGAAGGTGTTAAAAATGTCGAATATGCCGAATTTAATCGAAATCGGGGCTAATTCTTTGGGAAATTTAATTAATTTAGAAGAATTATTTATAAAAAACAACAACAAGTTGATTAAAATCGATGAGAAAGCCTTGGTGAGGGAAGAAGTTGAAACTTCGATTTGGCCCAATTTAAAAAAATTAGATTTAAGCGATAACAAATTGACGCATTTAAATTTTACCTTCCTCGGAAGATGGGAAAGTTTGACTTCGTTGGATTTAAGGGGGAATCCCTGGACGTGCGAATGCGAAAATCAATGGATGTTGGATGAATTAATCCCGATTTATTTGCAATTAGATCCAATTGGGGCTAAAGAAATTAGGTTAATTACTTAAATTAAAATTTTTTTAAACATTTAATTAATAAAAAATTAATTTTTAGATGTGGTGCTCCTATCGAGATGGAAAAATACAAATTTTTCGATTTATACGCATCGAAATCGTCGATGCGGTGTTTAGATATTTACGGGAATCACCCCGAAAAAGATGGGACGATGTTGGTGGGGATGTTGATCGGGATCTTATTGGGGATTCCCTGCGTTTTATTCGCTTTGTACGCGTACCAAAGGAATTGGTTTGGGGTTTTTGATAAATCGCCGGCGGCGTATTCGCGCCAATTTTATCGGGCGCCCTCGTTAAACGAAGAGTTTTGAATTAAAAGAGATTTCGAAGAATAATTTTTATTCATCTCGAAAAAAAAACATCCTAACAAAATAATAATAATAATAAAACAGTGACGATTAAGTCAATAAATAAATTAATTAATTATTCTCCGGTCTAAATATATTACTTTTTTTGTGTGATTCGAGTACATTTCTTTTATTTATAATCTTTAAATTTACTTACTTAGAAATAGAATGGCAAAAATCTTTAATTAAATTAATAATTAACTTTTCAATACAACCACGCGGACTATTAATCTTGTCAATGTTAAATTTAATTTGATAATCCAACTAAAACGTTTCTATCAATGTAAAAGTCAGTGGCGGCTTTGGAGGGTGGCGCAACAACTTGAGATAAAAGAATTGATCAATAAAACTTTTTATTATATATTGTCTAAATAAAATTTTTCATTACCATGACTCTAACTCTAACTCAGCTGAAAATATTCCTTCAACGCAGCTAACTTCAACATTAAGCAGTGTGTCTTAAAGCTTCAAAAATGCTTTAATTTGATACCAAACATGACATATTTAGGTTAAAAAATAAAAAAGTTAGGTTAAAAATTGAGAAATGTCAAAATTAAATATAACGATTTTTTGAGAAATATGAAAATGAACCTAATAAGAATCAAAAATGCTTTAATTTGATACCAAAGACGATATATTTAGGTTAAAAAATGAAAAAGTTAGATTAAAAATTGTGAAATGTCAAAATTAAATATAACAATTTTTTGAGAAATATGAAAATGAACCTAATAAGAATCAAAAATGCTTTAATTTGATACCAAACATGATATATTTAGGTTAAAAAATGAAAAAGTTAGGTTAGAAACTGTCAAATGTCAAAATTAAATATGACGATTTTTTGATAAATATTGAGATGAACCTAATAAGAATTAAAAATGCTTTAATTTGATACCAAACATGACATATTTGAGTAAAATAATAAAAAAGTTAGGTTAGAAACTGTCAAATGTCAAAATTAAATATAACGATTTTTTGATAAATATTGAAGTGAACCTAATAAGAAACAAAAATGCTTTAATTTGATACCAAACACGATATATTTGGGTTAAAAAATAAAAGTTAGGTTATAAACTGTCAAATGTCAAAATTAAATCTGACGATTTTTTGATAAATATTGAAATGAACCTAATAAGAATCAAAAATGCTTTCGTTTGATACCAAACATGATATATTTGGGTTAAAAAATAAAAAAGTTAGGTTAGAAACCGTCAAATGTCAAAATTGAGTATAACGATTTTTTGAGAAATATTAAAATAATCTTAACAAGATTCAAAAATGCTTTAATTTGATACCAATCACGATATATTTGGATTAAAAAATCAAAAAAGTTAACCTAGAAACTGTCAAATGTCAAAATTAAATATAAGGCGCTTTTGAAAAATATTGAAATGAACCTAATAAGAATCAAAAATGCTTTAATTTGATACCAAACACGATATATTTGGGTTAAAAAATAAAAAAGTTACGTTATAAACTGTCAAATTTGACATTTGTCGCCATTTTTTTTTGCTAAAAATTAAGATATCTCGATAACGGTTGGAAATAAATAGGTCGAGTTTGGGTTCATTTTAAAGGATATTTAATATTCTATCCATTTATGTTAAAAAAGAACAGCTTTATAACTAAAAAAATTATCTGAATTGACGCTTGTTAAGAAACATGTACTTCATTCCACTAATCCAAATGAAACCTAATAAGAATCAAAAATGCTTTCATTTGATACCAAACATAATATATTTGGGTTAAAAAATAAAAAAAGTTAGGTTAGAAATTGTGAAATGTCAAAATTAAATGTAACGATTATTTGATAAATATTGAAATGAACCTAATAAGAATCAAAAATGGTTTAATTTGATACCAAACATGATATATTTAGGTTAAAAAATAAAAAAATTAGGTTAGAAACTGTCAAATGTCAAAATTAAATATAACGATTTTTTTAGAAATATTGAAATAAACCTAATAAGAATCGAAAATGCTGTCATTTGATACCAAACACGATATATTTGGATTAAAAAATAAAAATGTTACGTTATAAACTGTCAAATTTGACATTTGTCGACATTTTTTTTTGCTAAAAATTAAGATATCTCGATAACGGTTGGAGATAAATAGGTCGAGTTTAGGTTCATTTTAAAGGATTTTTAATTTTCTATCCATTTATGCTAAAAAAAGAACAGCTTTATAACTAAAAAAAATTATTTGAATGAACAATGGTTCAAGAAATAAACCCGAGGTCGCTTGCGGCCGAGGCAGTACAATTAATATTATGTCAACAAAAATTCTTATATAACACTATTTCAGTCGCACTTTGTATCAGCCCAAATTGTTATAACGTATAGCACTGCCTCGGCAACACTCTGTATCAACCCAAACTCTTACAACATATAGTACTGTTTCGGCAACACCCTGTATCAACCCAAACTTTTATGACATATAGCACTACCTCGGGTTAATCATAAAAAAACAATGGATCAAAGAACTAAACCGAGGTCGCTTGCGGCCGAGGCAGTACAATTTCAAATGGTTCTAAATAAAATCATCTTCAAGATATTGAGCCACGTTAAAATGAATTTATATACAGGGTGTCAGATTAAAAACGTCTCAACCTATAACTTAAGTGATTTACTATGTATCATGCTACAAATAAATTTTTTTCAACGCCATTTTTAATTTATATGTATATTTCTTTTTGCGTCATTGGGTAGAAATTTTTACAATATAGTTCATTTTTTTTCTATAATACCTGTCAAATTGTTGTAAAGGTGGCAAAATTAACAGAGAGTTTTGTTTTATCATATTTTGAAATAAATATGTCACATTAACGTTTGAACTTTTATTATTCAATAGAAGTGCATAAAAAATGTTGTGAGGTGTTTATTTGCCATTTATTTTATTTACCCAAAAAAGGTATTTTGTTCTATTTAATTATTTTGTAGCACGTTTTTACAATAAATATGTACTTCATTAAAGTCGTATTAAATAAAATCGGGAAAACAACACAAATTTTATAAAGGTTCTAGATAATACCAACAGAAACCCTAAAAAATTTACATTGACTAGTATTATAGAAAAAAAAAACGAACAGTATTGTAGAAAACAGCCTATATACAGGTGAGTTGTTAATATCCCAGCGAATGATAGTTGCTAAACCGTTTGAGAAAGAAAAAAATGTTTTATACAAAAGTTGTTTGACTCACCACTTTTTATTACGTAAAATTATTTTCATTTATACAGGGTGTTCCGTTTAGGCGTAACGGAGAGTATGTAAATTTTTTTTGTAATGAAACACCCTGTATATTTTAACACATAAATAGAATTAAATTTGCTGATACAACCGTATATGTTACTAACTCATAGCGTTCATAGTTTCTGAAATATCCAATTTTTTTTTTTTCAAAATGTATCCATTTCAGGATCTTTTTAAAAACGATGTAAAATCGAGATTTTTTCCAATTTTGCTTTGAAACTACGTCAGATAATAATCAAAGCCAGTAGGTAGATGATAGTATTCGAAGATATTAGATGCACTATACAGGCTGTTTATAAAGTTTAGTTATTTTTGATATTTTCAAATTGCTTTTTTATAAGATTTTTGAATGGAACACCCTGTATATTTAGTGCTGGTTGAATTTCCCATCAAGTTAACTTTAATTAATGATAAGTATGTCATATGTCTAATTTTAATAGTTTTAGTGATATTTAGAATTTGAAGAAAAATGTGATTACAATTAAAAAAAACACCTGTATAGTAATATCTTTGAATATTTAAGACACCAAAAAGAATTCACAGATTATTTCTCTAAGGTTGAGATTTCTGATATTGTTTAAGTCTAGAATATGTACAGAGTGTTTCCAAAGTTTTTATAATCTGTAGATTTTAGACTTTTATCTAATCACTGATTCTAGACATTAGAGAGTATTCCATGAGGTATGATTTAGGATCTCCAAAGTCAAATAACATAAATCTCTTGAATCATCCAGAAAATTACAAGGTTGAGATTTCTAATATTGTTTAAGTCTGGAATCTGCGCAGAGTGTTTCCAAAATTCTTCTTGTATTCTGTAAGTTTTATACTTTTACACTAAAATCACTGATTCTAGACACCAAAAAGAATACTATGATGTGTAATTGAGTATCTGCAAGATAAAATAAGATAAATCTCGAATTCCAGACATACAGAAAATTACAGACCTACACAGACTGTTTCATTAAGGTTGAGATTTCTGACTTTCTTTAATTCTAAAATCTTGGATCCTCTTGGATTCTAAAATCATTGAGGTGTGGAAATCCAAAAAAACGGCATGTATTAAATTGTCTAGATTGCAAATTCTAAATTTTAAAGTTAAATAAGTAATATGATTAAGAATTACGAGGTCCACATATTTCAAAGTTTAAGTAGGGAAGAAAGTTTTAGGTCTTTGAATCATCTACCTACTGGCTTTGACTATTATTTGACGTAGTTTCAACGCAAAATTGGAAAAAATGTCGTTTTTACATAGTTTTTAGTAACATATACGGTTGTATAAACAAATTTAGTTGTATTCATAATATAATAAAACATACAGGGTGTTCCATTTAAATAAATTTACGTATTATTCGTTACGCTTAAATGGAACATCCTGTATAAGTGAAAATAATTTTACGTAATAGAAAGTGACGAGTATTTTTTTGATATTAATAACACCCTGTATATTGTATAAAGATATCAAGCAATCAAAATCTAGCATTAGCGAGGTTGGGTTCAAAATAAAGCATTTTTTTTTAATTCAAGATGGCGGTTATAATAGTGGTCATCGTAAAAATATAAAAATAATTTCTGATTTTCTCTTGGCCACTTTAGTTATAACATTTTTTACCTCAAGTCTCTACAAAAAGTAGTTTTCGAAATACACTACTTTGCATGGCTATTTGGCCACCCTGTACATAAAATGCGCAAAACGACTCCATAAAAGTTATTGTTTTGAACAATACCATTCAATTCATTTTGTTAATTTGTGTTCCTTTTTTGGGAACACGCTATATTTTGGAAGTTGTAACCACTTCATACAATTTAGTGTATTCTGTTAATAATTATAACAAATAAAGCATTTTTGTAATATGATAGCTTCATTTGTCATCAAATTATTGTTTAAATTAATTAAAAGAATGTTTCTAGTTCTAATCTGTTTCTAGTTTAGTTACTTTTGATGTTGTTCAAATTGCTTTTTTATAAGCTTTTTGAATGGAACACCCTGTATATTTTGTGCTGGTTGAATTTCCCATCAAGTTACCTTTAATTAATGATATACTTATTATATGTTTAACTTTAATAGTTTTTCTGATGTTTAAAATTTAAAAAAAAATGTGATTACAATTAAAAAAAAACACCTGTATAGTGTATCCAATATTTTTGAATACCTAAGACACCAAAAAGAATACCATGAGGTGTAATTGAGTAAATAACACAAATCTCGAATTCCAGACATCCAGAAAATGAGACTTGCACAGATTATTTCTCTAAAGTTGAGATTTCTGATATTGTTTAAGTCTGGAATATGCACAGGGTGTTCCAAAGTTTTTATAATCTGTAGATCTTAAAGTTAAATAAGTAATGTAAATAAGAATTACGAGGACCACATATTTCAAAGTTTAAGTAGGTAAGAAAGTTTTAGGTCTTTGAATCATCTATCTACTGGCTTTGACTATTATTTGACGTAGTTTCAACGCAAAATCGGAAAAAATGTCGTTTTTACATAGTTTTTAGTAACATATACGGTTGTATAAACAAATTTAGTTGTATTCATAATATAATAAAACATACAGGGTGTTCCATTTAAATAAATTTACGTATTATTCGTTACGCTTAAATGGAACACCTGTATAAGTGAAAATAATTTGACGTAATAGAAAGTGACGAGAATTTTTTTAATAATTATCGATTACCGGGATATCAATAACACCCTGTATATTGTATAAAGATATCAAGCAATCAAAAATAGCATTACCGAGTTCAAGAATCACCTGGTTTTGGAGTTGTTGCATCTTACTAGTGAAAATGAAGTAAGAAAAATGTAAAATGAAGTAGAAAGATATACAAGTATAAGATATATTCGATGTTATTTTGGGTTGGGTTCCACATTTTTAAAATAAGATGGCGGTTGCAACCCCTAGTGGTCATCTTAGAAACATGAAAATAATTTTTAGAATTTTTTCTTGGCCTCTTTAGTAATTACCAGGACACGGAACTTTTGTAACAAAACGATACCATTTCCCCCCTCCACTCGTTCTCAGAAAATCTTGATTAAAAGAACAGCATACTGTTCAGTGGGAAATTAAAATTTCAAGTTAGAAAAAAATTGTGTTAACAAAAATTGTTCCTGAAACAATTCTAAACAAACTTTGTCAACATTTTTTTTTGATTTAATCAATAATTAAGGAGATAACCTCAAAATAATAATTTTTAAATTTTTATACATAATTATACTTAGATGGTTAATTAATAGAGATGTAAAAATTTTTTGTTAAGATAATTGATTCAAAATCGAAATTGAAACAAATTTTATTTAAAACATTTTTTGATGAAAACAATAATTGTTGAGATAATTAATTTTGATGGCATACTATTCAGAGGGAAATTAAAATTTCAAGTTAGCAAAAAATTGTATTAACAAACACTTTTCCTGAAGTAATTCTAAACAAATATTGTTAATAAAAATTTTTGATTTGATCAATAATTAAGAACATAATCTCAAAAAAAATTTAGTGAAGGGGGAAATCGTATCGTTTTGTTACAAAAGTTCCGTGCCCTAGTAATTACAAGAGTAGTTTCCGAGATACATTGCTTTGCACGTTTTTGGCCACCCTGTATAAAATGTTTCAATTCATTTTGTTAATTCGTGCCCCTTTTTTGGGATCACACTATATTTAACACTTTATGCTATATAACTTGTATAAAGTATATTTAAATGGTAAAATATCTCAAAAACTATAATCAACCTTAATAAATGGATTATAGCTTCAGATTCAGCTTTCCTAATTACTTTAGACATATTTGTCATCAAATTATGTGTATAAATTAATTAATTAAATGTTTCTAGTTCTAAATCTAATGTTAATTGGAGATTAATAGTCCGCTGTGTGTATTGAAAAGTTAAAATAAAGAAATAAAAAATTGTGAATAAGTGAGTTATTTAAAAATGACTAGATGGCGCTTTTCGATAGTTTCATTATAATAATTAATAAATATTTTAAGCGATTTCTTTTTTTTAATTAATTCTTCACCTTACTCATTAATTAATTTAATTTAATTAATTAATTAATTAACCGTTTACGCGTAGAGGTATTAAAAAAATATTATTCTAAGTTTTTCCGCAGCTTAAAACGTTAAAAATAAAAAAAAAATAAAAACGAAATTGCCTCGTAAATAATTTTAAACAAAAATCAATATCGCAAATAATGAGTATCATCAACTTTTACAAATATCAACTTCTTTATGTCACGTTATTTTTTTTTGTATGCGATCTCTTCTATAATTTACAATTTCTAATTTTTAATAATAATATTTTTTTTTTGTTTAAATCTTTCGTTTTCATTTCTTTTCGCACCTAAAAGAAAACACACATACAAAACACATCTTTATCTTATTTCATCACCAACAGCAACCGCAAATAGATTCGAATAGACGAAATAAAAAGGGGAAAAAAATGTTGAAAATGTTAAAAGAATAAATTATTTAAAAGGATAAATATGTACAAAAAAAAAATAAATTATAAAACAAAAAAAAAATAAATAAATAAATAAAGAAAAATAGAAGGAAAGGACAAAAATAGAACCGAGATTCGACGACGCCACTTCAATAAATTAATAAAAAAAAAAAATGTTACCATGTCTTTTCTTTTCATTTCTATAAAAACTAATTCTTTCTCTTGTAAACCTCCTTTTCCGAACCAAATTTTTAAAACCACTCCCTTTTTTGTTTCTTCACTTCTTGGAACCCTACTTTTAAACATTTAAAACGATGGGGAATTTCTATTGTTATGTAACCGGACGATATCTCCGGCACCTGACGCTACTCTCCTGTGTGGGTTCGCCTTCCGGAGGCGCGGGGACTCCCTCCGAAGTGTCCGGCGATGACTCAGAGGCCCCGATTAAACAGGTAGGAACCCCACGAACATTTCTTAAACCTAAAAAAGTCATAAACACATCCAAATTAATTAAAAGAAAGTCTTTGTTGACGTTTTAAATTAATTTTTAGCGATTAGTTTTATTTGAAATGGTGATTAACACGTTCCCGCAGGGGCTCACTCACAAATTTACTTACTTTAATTATTTTTGAAAGATAAACATAAAAAAAATTAGATAAAAATCGCTTAAAACTTCGAAACATATTCGTTCTGTCAAAATTTCGATTTGAAAGGAAGGGCTACCAACCTATTTTTTTTTTATTTTCCCCTATTATACAGTATGTGTCAAAATATACAGTATTAACTTATTTCGATTTTTTAACTCGCGAAGCAACTCTAAAAAGAGGATACTTTAATTAATAATTGGTGATATTCAAGAAATTAATTTCGAAACTTATCGATAAAAATTGCAACATCGAAAATTTTATCAAAATTATTTTCTCAAAAACTAAAAGTTATTTTTCAAAACGGGTTAGTTCATTGGAAAGAGGACGCTTTTATTAACATTTTGGGAAATTTTCATACTCATATCCCAAAAAATGGATTTTATACGAATTTTTAAAACTTAATCGGCGAAAATTGCAAAATTAGAAACAAATTTCAAAAATTTATTTCTCAAAAACTAGAAGCGATTTTTCAAAACGGTTTGTTGCATTAAAAAGAGGATACTTTAATTAATAATTGGTGATATTTCCACAAGGATCTTTCAAGAAATTAATTTTATAGCGAATTTTGAAACTGCAACAAAAGATTTTATATATCGTATTGGGATTGTTACAACTAGCTTGTTAATGACAAACCTGATATAAATAAAGTTGTATTCAATGAAAAAAGTCCTGTTGGGGTTGAACTTGATATTTGGTAACTATCCGGTATCCGATATTAGTTCCGATTTTAATAAAACATAAAACTTTTTAAGTCTAAAAATAAACAAATAAGATTCGATTTTTAGAAGATAATGATAACAAAACGTTTAATAATTAGATAAATATCACTTAAAACTTGGAAACATATTCTTTCTGTCAAAATTTCGATTTGAAAGGAAGGGCTACCAACCTAATTTTTTTTTAATCTTCCCCTATTATACTATAATATTTTATTACTATTTAGTTATTAATTAGGGATGATATTTTAATTGTTGAAAATGTCACGCTATAATCTTAGGGGTTAAGTCTAGCCCAAAGGATTTTTGATAGGAACACTTGGGACTAATTGTATCTCGATCCTACCGTAAGATGGCATTAGCGTCTATACTAAAATAATTTAATTAAACTAACGATTTTATTATTAATAGTGGGAATGATGAGAGAGAGCAATAATAATTATTACCAGTATTATTCTTTTAATTTAAAAAGTATAGATTCCAATTCGTGTTATATTTTTAAATTTGTCGCTAACTTCAACTTTTAAAATCTTAAAAGTTGAAGTTAGTTCAGAATGACAGATGAAAACGTCATTTTAAAGTGATTTTTCGGTAAGAAGTAATAATGGTATGATTAAATAATTAGATTATAATTAACATTATAGCTTTGTTTCAACTAACGTTATAACCGGTTGGAAGCTCGTCAGATGCAATCTCACATGTCATATGATGCAGTGATATTAAAATGTGACGGCGTTATTTGACAGGTGTAATTGCATGTGAGGAATTCCCAACCAGTCGGAACGTTAATTGGAGCTAAGTAGTGGCTCTAAACACTTTCCAAACAGTTATTTTATGGTTGGAGCTTTTATATATAAACCCCATCCAACCTGTATTTTAGTGGTTCAATTCTTAGCTGAATAATTCCGAAATACCCCAACAGATGGCGCCACATGCGTTTAATTTTTAGTACGAAGTTTTTGTTTAGAGAGTTGCATATATATATACGTCAAAATACACAGTACAAGAAAAATATTTTATTATTTTGTTATTAAGGATGATATTTTAAATGTTCAAATGCGGTCTAGATCGAAAACCGGCAAATATCTAATAAATCTATCAAACCAAATAAAAAATCATGGTTTACAGAGGAGGTCAAAAAACTGTTAAATGAAAAACGAAAGGTATACTTAAAATATAGTTCCCAAAGCTTAATACTACATGAATATAAAGCTGTAAGAAATGCTGTCAAGAACAAGATCTGATTCATCAAGAGAGTTCATTGGGAAAAGTTTTTGGCACTTACAGAGCNAAAGTATAGATTCCAATTCGTGTTATATTTTTAAATTTGTCGCTAACTTCAACTTTTAAAATCTTAAAAGTTGAAGTTAGTTCAGAATGACAGATGAAAACGTCATTTTAAAGTGATTTTTCGGTAAGAAGTAATAATGGTATGATTAAATAATTAGATTGTGAAACGTTTGAACGTTATAACTGGTTGGAAGCTCGTCAGATGCAATCTCACATCAAGGTTTATATATAAGAGGTTGTCTAGATTCGTACGCAACCATACTGCGCATTACGTCACATGTGGAAAATAATACCGCCAAGCAATTCAAATTAAACAAATGCACGGAGCACCACATGACCATGAGGTTACGTGCGCAATCCGTGATCGCTTACGTCACGAAACACTCCTGCTCTTGCCCCTCGCCCACAAACTAAATCAAAGTATTGCAGCATAGGTACTTAGACAACCTTTAATATATAAACCTTGATCTCACATGTCATATGATGCGGTGATATTAAAATGTGGCGGCATTATTTGACAGGTGTAATTGCATCTGAGGAATTCCCAACCAGTCGGAACGTTAATTGGAGCTAAGTAGTGCCTCTAAACACTTTCCAAACAGTTATTTTGTGGTTGGAGCTTTTATATATAAACCCAATCCAACCTGTATTCTAATGGTTCAATTCTTGGCTGAATAATTCCGAAAGATCCCCAACAGATGGCGCCACATGCATTCAATTTTTAGTACGAAGTTTTTGTTTAGAGAGTTGCATTTCTACGAAGCTATTTTCTATGCTACCAACCTATTTTTTTTAAAATTTTCCCCTATTATACAGTATACGTCAAAGTACACAGTACTGGAAAAATATTTTATTATTAAGGATGATATTTTAAATGTTCAAATACGCTCTAGAGAAAACCGGCAAATATCTAATAAATCTACCAAATCAAATAAGAACTCATGGTTTACAGAGGAGGTCAAAGAACTGTCAAATGAAAAACGAAAGGCATACTTAAAATACAGTTCCCAAAGTTTAACACTACATGAATATAAAGCTGTAAGAAATGCTGTCAAGAACAAGATCTGATTCATCAAGAGAGTTCATTGGGAAAAGTTTTTGGCACTTACAGAGCCCAGAACAAGGTTTGGAACATGTTAAGAAACAGGAAAAAACCAATCAAAAATCTGAAGAATTGTTTCGTGATTTTAAAAACAAGTAGAAATTATGAAAAAAATCGAAGATTTGCCATTATCTGCTAAAACAGTACAAGATAGAACTGCTAAAATGTAACACATATGCAAGTGAGTCTTGACATAACAGACATTGCACAAGTTACTCGTTTCGTCAGGTACATATGTCGTCTTAAAACTCGTGGAGAAGATGCTGTAAATAAAATCGTTTTATAGCAACTGATGGAGCCAGAAGTATAACAAGAATGCATAGAGGGGTAACATCAATAAACCACGAAATTCTAACGTTTAAATAAAAGGATGAACAACAAAAACTGATAAAAATGGACAAAATATAATATTAAGTACAACAACGCATATTTTATTACACATTATTCTTTAAATTCTAAATATCAGGAAAACCACTAAAGTTAGATATATGACATACCTATCATTAATTAAAGGTAACTTGATGGGAAATTCAACCAGGACACAATATACAACTTATAAAAACATCAAAAGTAACTAAGCTTTATAAACACGCTGTATAGCGTATCTAATATCTTTGGATACTATCATCTACCTATTGGCTTTGACTATTATCTGACATAGTTTCAAGGCAAAATTATAATTATTTAAAAAAATCTACATACTCTCCGTTATGCTTCAATGGAACACCTGTATAAGTGAAAATTATTTTACGTAATAGAAAGCGAACTTTTGTAGAAAATATTTTTTTCTTTCTCAAACGATTTAGCAACTATCGTCCGCTACTAGGCGGTGCTTGAGAAGACTACTTAATGCTTGTAGAAGACAATTTCCCGATTGCAGAAGACTAAATACTCCTTAGAAAGACTTCTTAATGCTTGTAAAAGATTAGTTGTAGCTTGGAAAGGCTTCTTAGTGCTGGCGAAAGACTATTATATACCACTTAAAAAGATTCCTTACTACTTCCAAAGGCTACATAGTGCTTTTAAATACTCCCTTACTGCTGGCGAAAGACTAAATACTGCTAAGGGAAGCTTCTTAGTGCTTGCAAAAGATTATATAGTAAGACGGGCGAAAACTCAAGATTGTCATAAAACTACCCAATGCTTGTATGTTGTATTTTATGTGGGACAGTGTAAGTACATAGTAGTTTCGTAACTATGGTTACTGCATAAAATTTCCGGTATGTAGTTTGTAAATGTTGTTAGATTTCAAAAATTAATCGATTTCATTATATGTTTTCAACAATTGTTTAATATAAATTAAATATTTTTACTCTAGCAAAATGTGTGTTTTAACTGTTTTATTAAAAATAAAACCCCCGAAGATAAAGCCCGCTCGAAGATTAAAAAGTTTTTGAAGAAAAGCTTTTTTGTCTCCAACCCAAGTTTCCTTAAATATTTTTTAAATCAACAAAATCTTATCTATTAAAATTGTTAATAAATCCGAGATCCGTCGCAATTGAGGCATTAATTGCAGTGCCTCAGCAGCAAGATGCTTCTGATTCTATCAATTAAATTAAAGTTAGAATCACGACGTAATCTGCACAAATAAGTATTGTATTTTAAGTCGCTAATTAAATGTTATTAATAGGGCACGGAACTTTTGTAATAAAACGATACGATTTCCCCCCTCCACTCCTTCTGATTAAAAGAACAGCATACTGTTCAGTGGGAAATTAAAATTTCAAGTTAGAAAAAAATTGTGTTAACAAAAATTGTTCCTGAAACAATTCTAAACAAACTATGTCAACAATTTTTTTTGATTTANCTTTCTGAAGACTAGATACTTCCGACAGGTCTAAATACAGCGTCTGGAACACTAAATACTGCCTTCTAAAGACTAAAATTGCTTTGTGGAGACTAAATACTGCTTTCTGAAGACTAGATACTGCTGACAGGTCTAAGTATTGTAAAAGAAAGATAAGATATTGTTGGAGAAAATATACATAATGTTGGCAGAAGACTAGATACTGCTGACAGGTCTAAATACAGCATCTGGAACACTAAATACTGCACCCCCATTGCACCCCCCGGTAGCGCCGCCTCTGTATTTAATTGTACGGTCCAGCTAAGATTGTCTTGAGACCAATATTGATTGTCTTGCTTGCATACTATTCTATTATTATGGAAACGACTTTCGTTGCACCTGGATGTAATTTTGAACAAAATTGCATTTATATGGCAAAAATTTGTTTATTAAATTCGATGGCAGTTGCGAGTTGTCATTCGTTATTTGCAAGACCATTGCAGTTTTCATCATCTCGAACTCGTTTTTCTCTCTGCGTTTCTGTTTTTTGAATGTTCCAAAATTTGTAAGGTTTGTGTCACTTTTTTTTTCGACGCAGCGCCATCATTATTTTTGTACATTGACAAATAACAATACTTAAGAACTGAAGTCATTTTCGAACTTTAGCAACAACTTCTTATAGAACTACAATATCTCAATCCATTCCAGAAACACTTGGCCTGGGGGTTTTAAGTGAAACACCCTGTATATTCTTGAAAATTTTCCTCTTCAACAATAAGTCTATAAAAGAAGTTTTTTTTATATTTTTTCTTAATTGTTATTGTTTAGATCGTCCTGATATCATAGAGAAAGATATAATATGAAAAACTCCGTTCCGAACGCGATATCTTAATGCAAGAAAAAGAAGAAGCTCTTGCTAAATTAGCTATAGTGGAAGTAACCTCAAAAATATTAACTTTTGTAGCATACTGTTCAGTGGGAAATTAAAATTTCAAGTTAGAAAAAAATTGTTTTAACAAACACTGTTCCTGAAACAATTCTAAACAAACTTTGTCCACAATTTTTTTTGATTTAATCAATAATTAAGGAAATAACCTCAAAATAATAATTTTTAAATTTTTATATATAATTATACTTAGATGGTTAATTAATAGAGACGTAAAAATTTTTTGTTAAGATAATTGATTCAAAATCGAAATTGAAACAAATTTTATTTAAAACATTTTTTGATAAAAACAATAATTATCGAGATAATTAATTTTGATAGCATACTATTCAGAGGGAAATTAAAATTTCAAGTTAGCAAAAAATTGTATTAACAAACACTGTTCCTGAAGTAATTCTAAACAAATTTTGTTAACAACATTTTTTGATTAAATCAACAATAAGGATATAACCTCAAAAATATTAATTTTTGTAGCATACTATTCAGTGGGAAATTAAAATTTCAAGTTAGAAAAAAATTGTGTTAACAAAAATTGTTCCTGAAACAATTCTAAACAAACTTTGTCAACAATTTTTTTTGATTTAATCAATAATTAAGGAGATAACCTCAAAATAATAATTTTTCCGTTTTTATACATAATTATACTTAGATGCTTAATTAATAGAGATGTAAAAATTTTTTATTAAGATAATTGATTCAAAATCGAAATTGAAACAAATTTTATTTAAAACATTTTTTGATAAAAACAATAATTATTGAGATAATTAATTTTGATAGCATACTATTCAGAGGGAAATTAAAATTTCAAGTTAGCAAAAAATTGTATTAACAAACACTGTTCCTGAAGTAATTCTAAACAAATTTTGTTAACAACATTTTTTGATTAAATCAACAATAAGGATATAACCTCAAAAATATTAATTTTTGTAGCATACTGTTCAGTGGGAAATTAAAATTTCAAGTTAGAAAAAAATTGTGTTAACAAAAATTGTTCCTGAAACAATTCTAAACAAACTTTGTCAACAATTTTTTTTGATTTAATCAATAATTAAGGAGATAACCTCAAAATAATAATTTTTCCGTTTTTATACATAATTATACTTAGATGCTTAATTAATAGAGATGTAAAAATTTTTTATTAAGATAATTGATTCAAAATCGAAATTGAAACAAATTTTATTTAAAACATTTTTTGATAAAAACAATAATTATTGAGATAATTAATTTTGATAGCATACTATTCAGAGGGAAATTAAAATTTCAAGTTAGCAAAAAATTTTGTTAACAAACACTGTTCCTGAAGTAATTTTAAACAAATTTTGTTAATAAAAATTTTTGATTTGATCAATAATAACCTCAAAAAAATTTTTATATATATATTTATTGAGAAAATCGTTTTAGAATTTAATTAAGAACGAGTGGAGGGGAGAACTCGTATCGTTTTGTTACAAAAGTTCCGTGTCCTAGTTATTAATCTAAAATTTCGCATAAATATTTTGTATAAACGCCTCAATGGGAACGTGTTAATAAAAAAATGAATGGTTAATGGATGGATTTGTTAAAAAGACTCAATCTAACATCAACTTGATCAAAAACGGTTTAAAAATTTACACCCAAACCTAAGTCTTTTTCCGTCCTTTACCTAAAAGACTTTCTTTGTACGCATTTCTTTTTATCATACTCGAGTTATTCATAGTTAATATCAAATTTCTAACACAACCATTTCGGTTAAGATTTTTTTAAAAACACACACAACACAAATCTTCCCTTTTGGGGGAAGTAATTTGTTTGAATTTTTGTTTGGAATAAAATTGTACCTCCTGAACCGGTTGTGGAGTGTCTTTTGAACCTTAGATTGAGCTCCTTAAGGTCAGTTACGTATTTCTCATAAAGCCGGCGCCTGCGCAGCCCCGGCGTCAGATCACCCGACCACGACATACATTTTGCGAGTCGTTGACCCCCTCCAGAAACCGCCACTGGAATCCTTGAAACGCCTCTATTACCATCTAATCCTGGTGAGACCTAAAATATAACGATTAAATTTGTAATAATTTAATTTAATCAAAAAAATCTTACTGAAGTTTCTCGTAAAATTTGACTCGCGTTATCTACACCACTATCTTCATCATCAACTTCCGGTTTTTTATCTTTAATAAGTGGATTTTCGGTCGCATCGAAATATTCCGATTGTTCTTCAACACCCGGACTAAGACCATTTGCGACGGATCTTCTAAAAAGTGATTTAAAAAAATTAAATTTAATCATTATAAAAATAATTAATTTACTTTTGATCACCACCCGATGATGGATGATGTTGAACAAACGTAACCTGAGGATTCCTACTCAAATCGATCCCAGGCGAACAAGTCACTTTTCGCATCTCCTCCCCAATTAGCGCCTTAATAGGCGGATTAACAACGCACCTCCTCTCGATTTTCTTCGAGGTGGTCGTCGTCACCTCCTTCTCTTGACTCGTCGAACTGCTATTATCCGAAGCGTTAATTTTAACCCGCTCGATCGATTTCGGAATCAATTTAGCACTACTACTCCTCCTCAACGCTTCGACCGGCTCAAAATCTAAATGCGAATTCGAATCGCTTTTAACGATCGATAAGCGCCTCGGCGAATCTTGACTTTTCCTCCGTTCTAATTGCTTCTTTTTTTCGTTCGTTTCCGTTCCGGAACTTTCCGATTCATTCTTATTATTATTGCCTCCGTTATTCGAGTTAATCTTTTGAGGTTCATTTTTATTGCTGGATTCTTCGTAATCTTTATTGTAACTATCTAAGTGTTTTACGAGTTCGGGTTCGGGCGCGAAACATATATTTTCGCGTTTGGGGGATTGAGGCACCTCGTGGCTCTCTTTGCTCGCTTGTTTTAGGATGCTTCGGGTGCGTTCGAGTTTTGGGGGAATTACCGGGCCGCAAATTGGAGGTTTTTCCGGTGTTAAAGTTTGAGGTCTTTGTTTTGTTTCTTTTGAAACGACTCGGATTTCTAATTTTCCGGCTACTTCTTGTAATCCTTCTTCTTCTTCGTCGTCGTCTTCCGGTTTGATTAAGTTGGTGATTTTTTCGTTGTTTTCAATCGATTCGGGTTTAGGGGTGGTGTCTTTACAGGTTATGTTTAATTCTGGAAGGCTATTCCACTAAAAAAATTAATAAAGGAGTTACACATTTTTTTTATTGCCATATTCTTGAAAAAACTTTGATGACGTCACCAAAGTTTCGCAATCAATAAAAGGTGCATGAGCGAGATGAGAACGATGCACCTTTGTGACATTTTAATCTTACGAAAGACTTCGTAAACATCACCAAAGCTTTTATTGAGGATTTTTATATTAAAAAAATATAATATACCTATATACAGGGTGTCTCACAAACTGATTCGTAATAACTTTTTGGTAGCATGGGTTGTTTATTTAAAAACATTAAATTCGACGTTAGATTTAAATTTACTACATTTAATAACATCTACGAACCATAATGAAGATGTGAGATAACTAAGAACATCTTTATAAAAATATAGATGGCCAAAAATTATTAATTATTCCAACTTGTCCACATACAACAGCAAATAATAAAGGAAACTTATGAAAATGATTATTTTGCATTAAAAAAGACGAAGGAATTAATTAGAAGAGATTATTTAAATGACAAAATTAAGAAAGTGATTCAAAACTGCATACTATATATACCTGTGGAAAGAAAATCAGGAAAATCTGAAGGATTGTTGAATCCCATAAACAAAACTTCTAAAAACTATAAATATTTGTTTGTTCTTATCGACGCTTTCACAAAATTTGTATGGATTTATCCGACGAAGACTACCAATACAAAAGAAGTATTAGACATGGCTGAAATGTGGGATTCCCCCTCTGAGATCCTCCCGAATATTATAATATTCTTTTATTACAAATAATAAGTTTTAAAGTATACTCCTAGAAGTGATTTAAAAATAAACATTAATTATGAAGTGAAACTTTTATAAAAACACTCCTAGAAATAAATTAAATAAAACGTGACCCCTACATTTATATTATAAATTTATATTTTTATCCAAATCTAATTTTTCCATTTAAAATTTTCGACTTTCTTGCGATTGAATATACAGGGTGTACAAAAAGTATGGAATAATGGTTCTAAACTTCAACTTATATTAGAAAAAGTTTTAAATAAATGCAACTTGAAACTATTTTCCGCATATTTTGGCGTAGAAATAAAATAAAAATGATGACGAACGACGGTCTGATTGTGAGTTGCGACATGGTGAGTGTGTTTTTTAAATGAAACACCCTGTATATATAAGTTATGTGGTAGCAGGTGTCCCGTCATAAACAAATAATAATAATAAGACGTATTTAAATAGTATTTAAATAATGAATAGCTTTCTCATATTACTTCTTTTTTGTAAACAAATAAAAAAGTTCGTTTCCGAATAATAATAATCATTGTTAATTCAATATTCATTAAGATAACTTCATAAGGGTCTTTTGATGTACGCGATTACGAAACAAATAAATAAGTTATTTTTTTTAAAATACAACCTCCCGGCTGTAACTCATAACTTATATATACAGGGTTTATATATATACATACAGTTTTAATGCTTTAAACTGCATAATTTTCGAGATATTGAAACTTTTATTTAAAAAGATTTGACATAGCGACACCCAAATTATGGAATAGACAACCTAAGCCTTGACGTCACAGGGATGGGCGGAGCTTATATCGACTCCAAACATCTTCGTTGCTAACGAAAAATCTCCAAATGCAATTTTTCAATTAGTGTTATAATAAAATAAACTAAGTCACATTTTAAATATCTTTATTATGGCGATTTATCGTTAGCAACTGTGGTTAGCAACGAAATTGTTTAGAGTCAGTATAAGCTCCGCCCACCTTTGTGACGTCAGACTTAGGCAGTCTATTGTTATGCGTGTTGCTATGGTAACGGAGACAGTTTCCGCTCGAATAGACTGCCTGAGTCTGACGTCACAGAGGTGGGTGTTTGGAGTCGATATAAGCTCCGCCCATTTCTATGACGTCAAGGCTTTGATTGTCGCTATGTCAAATCTTTTTAAATAAAAGTTTCAATATCTCGAAAACTATGCAGTTTAAAGCATTAAAACCTTATGGCATTTTGTAACACCTCATCAAAAGGAATCCAAAAACCTTAAAATATACAGGATGTTCCATTTAAAAAACACACTCACCACGTCGTAACTCAGACTGCCGTCATTATTTTTATTTTATTTCTACGCCAAGATATGCGGAAAATAGTTTCAAGTAACTTTTGTTTAAAACTTCTTTTTATATAAGTTGAAGTTTATGCTGTAGAACCATTATTCCATACTTTTTGGTACACCTGTAGAGAAACGGTAATTCAATTTTTGACCAGCCTGTATAAAACACTCTGATACAATAAACAACAATCTCTTTGACAGCATCTGAAAGTAATCGTGCCAAATTAGATCTTTTTTGAATAAACGTTGGCTGAGATATAGGGTTTTAAAGAGCATGGTGAAATTTGCCAAAAAAAAACGTCAAAATAACTCGAAAACGAAAAACGCTAAGTGTCAATAACTTTTATGAAAGTCAACATATTTTTTTACGAACAATTAAAAGGTGTAATAAAAACTATAGCATTCCATTTAAAATAACGAAGTTATGGTCTACTTCCGGTAGACCGGAAGTGGCAGCCATCTTGAAAATATTTTAGATCGAAAGTTCCGACTGAACAACTCATACTACCAAAATTTCAAAACTACAAATAGTGGAACCTAAAAAAGTTGTAACAAACCAGTTACATGAGACACATATATATATATATAGGGTGATTTATAACATACGGAGCAAAAATTATGTAAATTAATTTCATAAAACTTTTTGGTCAAAATCACTTCTCCTCCAAGTTACTGCCCTCTAAAATTAGGGGGCAGTAACCTGTATAGTGCATTTAATATCTTAAAATACTATCATCTACCTACTGGATTTGACTATTATCTGACGTCGTTTCAAGACAAAATCGGAAAAAATTTCGTTTTTAAAAGGATCCTGTAATGGGCACATTTCGGAAGAACAATTGAATATCTCAGGAACTATGAACGCAGTAAAATAGTAACATATACGGTTGTTTAAACAAATTTAGTTGTATTTATAATATGACAAAATATACAGGTTGTTCCATTTAAATAAATTTACATACTCTCCGTTACGCTTAAATGGAACACGCTGTATAAGTGAAAATAATTTTACGTAATAGAAAGTGATGAGTCAAACAATTTTTATATAGAATATTTTGTATAAAAAAATAACTCATCCTGTATATATAATATATTTATATATACAGGTTTTTCATGTTTGAGTTTTTCAAAAATTGTTTCTGATAAAAGTTGAATCGAATCATATTGTACAAATTTTAAAATTAGTTGCAGTAATGGCGGACTTCCGCTTCTACCGGAAATGGATATCAACTTTGTTATTTTAAATGGAACACCTGTATATTATTGCATTTTTGCAGCGTTTTATAAATTTGGTAATATTGCCGAAACTGTGAAGGCTAGAAAGATTTGCTTTTCTGTTTTGTATTAATAATAAAAGAGCGCACGTTTGCTAATAAAAAATATGCATGTATATCTATCTACAGGCTGTTCGGAAATGACGTGTACAACGCAAGACCACAAATACCTTGACTGAATCCATATGTTTTTGACCCCCTGTACAAACACTACCATTATTCTTAGTAGTTACTTTAATTTAGAAACTATTTTCTCTCTTACAAAATTTCAGTTGGGTGAACGGTTTAGCCACAAAAAAATATTTACTAAGTCTCCACAAGCGCCAATGAGTGATATAAGGTATAATTAATTTTAAAAACAAAAACAGTTTGTCACTTAAATTTGACAGCGGTATTCGTATTTTTTGTTTTGCACTTTATCTTTGATTCATCATGAATGTTTAACGCCCTCTAACGGCTAAACTAAGCAATTTTGTATACAGGGTGAGTCAGAAAGAATGGGAAATCAGAATACCGGAGACACTAGACACCAAAATATGACGATTTAACCTAACATATCTTATACAAATGTCGGTTTTTAATACACAGGGTGTTGAAAGTTAAATTTTTATTTCGAAATTTCTTGATAATTTTGAAAGTTTTTGTACTATTAACATAAAATTTGGTAGTTAGATATTTTCGAACATGAGAAATACGAAAACCACTGAGATTTGTATAAGAGATGTTACGTTAAATCTCCCATTCTTTCTGACTCACCCTGTATAGAAAAGATGAGTTAAATTATCATATTTTTGGTTAAGGTACTTGTGATCTTCCGTTGTACACGTCATTTCGGGACAGCCTGTATATTAATTACGCATTTATATATTATAAGCCTATAAAAACGTAGGAAAAGTAAAAAACTTTTTTGAGAAATAATAATAAAATGTTTAATTTTATCAAGTATACATGTTTCGAAACTAATGTTTCATCTTCAGTACTTGGATTAATATACAATAAATGGAAAAATTATTAGGTAGTAGGTGGGGTTTAAAAATATATCAAGATATCCTTCTACTTTTCAACAGATAAAAAATTATCATAAATAATTTTTAAAAAATTATAAACAAAAAACCCTTTCAACAATCTAGTCAATCTTGGAATACAAACATCTACTTTTTATTTTTTTATTTTACTTTTCCTACGTTTTTATTTATTACTAGAGAAATATGGAGAATTTCATCCCATTTATATTATAAGCCTACTTCAACTTTTAATAGTATTGCAAAGCGTCCATTTTACCCATCCTAAGTCTACTTCGCAATACGTATCTATCGTTAAAAACTGAAAAATCGGAAATATCTCCAAAACCGTTGATGATAAACCTGTATAACACTGAAAAGAAATTAAATTTTACATCCAGTTATGCAAAAACTTTTATTTTCATCCATTTAAAAAAATTAAGTTATCCATGATTAAAAAGTTCGAAAATTACAGATTCCTACTTAACAACTTCGTAATATAGATGAATAATTTTTTATTAGCAAATTTGTGCTCTTTTATTGTTAATCTAAAATAGAAAACCAAATCTTTCTAGCTTTCACAGTTAAATTTATAAGACGCTGTAAAAGTCATTTTTTTCGAAAAACGTCATATAATTCAAAAACGATAGCAGTTAGACCTAAGGTATCATTAACAAAGTATCATTGAAATTTTACAAAGAATCCAAAAATGCAATAATATACAGGGTGTTCCATTNTTCAAAAAACCTCTGACAGATTTCTAGAGTAGATAATACATGAAAAATTAAGATGAATATTCTTAATATACATGGGGTCGTAAATGCCTCCTTAACGAGATATTTTTTATTGCAGATAATTTTTAATTTTAAAGAAACTTTTACCTCGTTAAGGAGGCACGTATATTAAGACTTTCAATCTTAATTTTTGATGTATTACCTGCCCTAGAAGTCTGTCAGCGGTTTTTTGAATCACCCTGTATATTTATATTTTATTATTGCAAAAATTAAAGAATTTTATATATATTTTATCGATTTTTTGATTAATTTTATGTACCTTTGTGAGGGGAATTTTACATCCAGTTATGCAAAAACTGGTATATTGTTCCATTTAAAAAAATTAAGTAATCCATGATTAAAAAGTTCGAAAATTACAGATTCCTACTTAAGAATTTCGTAATATAGATCGATAATTTTTTATTAGCAAATTTGTGCTCTTTTATTGTTAATCTAAAACAGAAAACCAAATCTTTCTAGCTTTCACAGTTAAATTTATAAGACGCTGTAAAAGTCATTTTTTTCGAAAAACGTCATATAATTCAAAAACGATAGCAGTTAGACCTAAGGTATCATTAACAAAGTATCATTGAAATNCTAGCTTTCACAGTTAAATTTATAAGACGCTGTAAAAGTCATTTTTTTCGAAAAACGTCATATAATTCAAAAACGATAGCAGTTAGACCTAAGGTATCATTAACAAAGTATCATTAAAATTTTACAAAGAATCCAAAAATGCAATAATATACAGGGTGTTCCCTATAAAATAACAAAGTTGATATCCATTTCCGGTAGAAGCGGAAGTCCGCAATTAGTGTAATTAATTTTAAAATATGTACAATATGATTCGATTCAACTTTTGTTTGAAAAATTTTTTGAAAAACTCAATAATTCGGCTATTAACCGAGGCAACTTAGGTGGGGCACCTATATATAATATACAGGGTGATTCAAAAAACCTCTGACAGATTTCTAGAGTAGATAATACATGAAAAATTAAGA